GAAAGGCGAGGCTTCATTTTAGCCAGCTGCCTAAGATGAAAGAAAGAAGCTGGATTTAACAACGGCATCATTAGGTCAGTTTGGGTTTTCCTGCAAGCTACAATTTCTCTCGCTGGCTTTACATGGAGGGTTTTTATTTTTTTTTTCCCCCTCATTCCAAAGATCTGATCTGGGGATGTCTGGTCAATGGTTGACAAGTGACGTGATCTATTCTCCATCTGCCGAAAACACGCACCAGTGCGCTCATCCAAACAGCCGTGTACAGCTTTGTAACACATGCAGATCGATGACATCACATGATTGATCAAGATGGAGTTTAGCCACAGTTTTTCAGATTTTTTTTTTCCTCCCCTCTTCGACATATACATTATCTCTTTCGTCACAGGCGAGCTGGTGTAGGAATCGATCGAATCGGAGCATTTGCCATGTCGGCATGATGCTCTTCACATGTACACGACGTGACGATGTGAGCAGCAAGAGTTGTACCTCGTCTTCAGATCATTTCTTCAAAAGCATCCTGAAATTGCTCCTTTCCCAATTCGTATTATTTCAGGTCATGCCCGCTGATGGCGGGGTGGCCGTTCTTCAACCTTTGCTTTTCTTTTGTTTTGTTTTCGGCTTAAAAGCTGAAACTGCGTCAAGGAAAAAAAAATGCTGAAAACGAGTCCGTTCTAATCTGGCTGAACTCGGAGAGCGTTTTGGAATTGCATCGGCAGCCATGCGCCCATGTACATTTCGACATCGCGCTTACATTCGTCTCGGCATCCAGTTTGGGATTTGGGAGCGCAACCGGGTTTTTATTTTGTTGACTTTGGTTTGACATCGGTGCTCGTGCGCTCTGCGACAGATGCGGGGCCTAATTTGAGTCAGCAGGCTTCCTTTGGTTTGTACCGGGGATTTTCCAGCACTACTTTGCTTGTGTATTACGTGACAGGGCATCTGGAATGAGTTTGATAGCGGCGGTCTCGGCCGTCACATCTGCTGAATGCAAAATGATTCACGTGAGCATTGGCTCATATTCTTCTCGCTTTATCAAAAGTCTTTTGATATCTTATCAAGCGCCGCATTTTATGCTGTGGCATCCCAAGACCGAATCGGATCTCAGCCCTTTTCTAAAAAACATTATAAACCTGGACTTTTTTTTTTTTTTTTTTTTTTTCCCAGTTTAATAAAAAGCAAGATTTTGTCAGGGTGACGATCGCTTTCACTTCATCTATTTTTGTCATGGACGTCAAACGGTATCAATTCGTTTGTAACGTAACGCATCGTATTGATGCCCGAGGCGCGCCCGATTGTGATGCAAGGGCATTGAGGTTCCGTCTTCTGTCCTAAATTGTCTACACCGTCAGCCGCTGTGCAAGAGCCACAGAGTGCCCCGTGGCGGGGGTCATCTCGCGGGCAGACGGGAAGGCCCGGGTTCAGCCTCTGAGCTGTTGATCAGTCGTGACTGAAGCATGCACGCGAGACCCGGCGCGGGGAAGGAGGAAAACAGAAGAGCCAACGGCGGTGGAAAATGCGGCGGGAGGCAAACGTGGCTTTGTGGTCACAAATGATTTTCGAGAATTAAACGCGGGAATACCCAGACTCCTTCCAGTGTTCGTTCTCTCATATCAAACGGGGAGTTCAGAACGTTGAACTTCGTCGCCCACTTTTGAGTTTGTCTTCTTGCAACACTGAGTGAATATACACTCGCTCGGATTGATCTGATAAATCACCACGAGATGGCTTTGATCAGATCTTGGTCCATGCATGGTGTGTGTGTGTGTTTGTGTGTGTGTGTATTGTGTTGTGTTGTGTTGTACAGTACGCGATTCCATGTGGCGAGGTGGCGTGCGAAAGCAATGGGGTGGTGAGAACATGAAAAGTTCATGCATAGTTCGTGCATCAGTGCAGTGGTTTTCTTGCAAGAAGCTGTTATTTTGCAATCCAAGTGCCTTTCTTTAGGTTATGTTGTTATTTAGTCGGAAAGCATTGTTTTGATATTTGAGATATCGCAAAAGCCAAAAAGAAAAATACGGTAGCGTCAAAGTTCTGCTTGAAATGCATTCCTTCACAAAAATCTCTTTTACTCTGAATTTTCCTTGGAAATGAAGATTTTACCAAAGAATGGGAAGAGGTAAAAATGTACTTTTTTTCCCCCCGATGAAAGAAGAGGGTTTCTTTTGTTAGGTACCATGCTTATACAGCTACAGAACTAAAAAAAAAAAAAAAAAAAAAAGTCCAATTTTCAAAAATGGCTGCGATCGACTCTCCCAATTTGAGGAAAAAAAACCTCATCCATCCTCCATAATACCTAAAGTGTCTCACTTGACATTCGGATTTATTTCGCAGCATGTTTCACTTCATATAGGAGTAAATGGTTTCTTGACTCGGTTGGTTTGGTCATGTTGTAGCACAGCAAAAAATTTCACTGACCCAAGCACGGAGTTTGATCGATAAGCAAAGGTCTGTGTCACACAAGTAACAAAGTAGAAATCCCGACGATTTACTTGAATGTTGTGTCAAATGTTGCTAGCTCTGCATCCATTGCAGCCTGATGGTCATCCTGCAAGCGGGATTCCCCCATCTGCGGCCCCTTCTCAAGGTTTCTCCCCAGGTGGCGCTATGGGACTTTGTCCCTGCCCTCGCGGGGGTTCAGGTCAGGGGATGCCGTGAAAACTTGCCAACTGTGGGCGTGTGAAGCCCTTTGAGACTCTTTTTGTGGTTCCGTGCGATTGAAGTAAATGCGACTTGACTTGATTTGAATTCTCTTTGCGCTCTCCAGGCACGTGTACAAATGACCAAGCTGTGAAGCTGCAATAGACAGTCGAAATTTGTAGCGAGACAGAGAGCGGCTGCTCCGTTTAACGACACCACATAAAACATCCCGAAGGAGCTGGAAAGAACCCATCTTGTCAACCGCGCTCCGAAGAAAGTCATGGAAGCAGACAGTTTTCATCAATCCGGTTTGCGACCCAGACAAAGCCGGCTCCGAGCCAAATGCCCCTGGATGCAATTAGCTCGACTTGAGCACAATGAAATGTCAGATTGAAAGCAGAGCGCTGGCGCGGTCTTCAAACGATCTTTTTTTCCCAATTTTTTTTTTTTTACAGTATTTGATTGATCACTCGCTAATGTCAGCATCGCCAAATACACACAAGCTGTGATTAGCCTTGACTCATTTGTACTTTATTAGACACAGTAGTACATGTCGCAATAATTCTGCATCTTTGATGCGCTTGCCATCGCCACTGAGATAAAACTGCGAGTTATCAAACTGCGAATGGCTGCGAGCATCAATTCAAGCGACGCGCCAAAAGTCGACCGTTGTTGCTCACTGCGAAAGGCGATGTATCCTTCAGCACTCTGCCGACCCGCCCGCATTTGGCCCCGCGGGCTACTTTTCGATCGAGGTTTTGTTTTATGTACCCGATGTAGTCTGTTGGCTGTCGCTCCCCGCTTGTTCTCAAAGGCTTTCGAATCGAGTTCATCATAAATACGCTGGAACTGGACGCAGGCATTTGGTGCACTCAGGAGGAGTGCTGCATTCAGGAACCAAAACGATCCATTTCCACAGGGGCGGATTGGCTTCGACTCAGTGCACCGTTTATGACGGCGGTGTCTAAACTATTTGAGGTCATTTGAGGCTTGCGACGTGACCCCACCCCCCCCCCCCCCAAAAAAAAAAAACTTGGGCCGTAAGGTTAGTTTTAAAAAAACGGGGAGGTGGGCCAAGTGGGAAGGAAGGGGACTGTAGAATTTTTCTCTGTGTTCAAAGATACAAATGAACCATTTCTGATGAAAAGAAGAACGCCGTTTATCTTCAAAGCACTGTACAACGAAATCATGTTTGCAGCAAGACTTTTTTCACAACAGGGGACTTTTCACTCTCGCAAATTTTATCTCAAATGTAAACAAACACCCACACAAAACGTATATGTGTACTCTTTATTTTTATTCCAATAGTGCATAAGTACGAGCATACACTTATTTGACACTTCATATAGCCAGCGTAGAAAGAAAAAAATGGGAAAGAAATTGTGAAATTTACGATCAGCATTCACTTTCACTTAATTTCTTGCCGAATGTCTTTTACTTTGCTTCCTCCATCTTTCATTTTTATGACTTTTATCCTGTCTTCAAGTGTGAATGCTTTTCTTTTCTTCACTCCTTGTTCTGCAAAGGTCCGTTTCGTCGCCATTTTCGCAATGCAACGTTCGTGCAGCGTCTGAAACGAACAATAACAAATACTTCCTGGACGACTGCGCATGTGTAAGCCACTGTGGTGTTTGCTGTTGCCATTTCCGAGCTAAGCAGTAGGAGTCGCTGTGGCGGGCTGAGGTCGGATTAGACTTTTGCGGAAGTCTTGTTTTCATTGTAGTGAACCTCACTGCGAGGCAAGGGTGGAGAAAAGAATTTCATATTACGCAACAGGGGGACTTTTCGTTGTAGGGGGAAGCAGAAAACATGGAACGCTTTAATGCACGAAGATTTTTTTCACACTAGGGGGTATTTTCGCCCATGTAGGTTTCGTTGTTCACTGTAGAGAATAAAGAGAATTCCGTTTTAGAGGCCAAAATAGTTTTATAATACAAACAATCGACAATTGCTTTCTTGACTGGCGTGTTTCCAAAGAATGGAGCAATTTTAAAGTGGCCCTCCCATTTTTCTGTCGCGAAAAAGTTTGGCCACCCCTGATTTGTAATCCTTGGAGGGAGGGCACAGTTCATTGGCATTTGGCCCGTGCGTTTATTTTCAGATGTCCGTGAGCATGTCACGAGTGTGAAAATGGGTTTGTGCGTGCGCACCGATGGCCGCATGTGTCGATGTGTGCCAGCGGCGCAGTGGGCCCGCGGGAGCGCTCGGCCCTTCTTTCCCACAGTGTGCGTCCCACGAGCTTTCATGGTGACGTCAGAACTGAGGTACAGACAAGTGCCCTGCTCGGAGGCCCGAAGGTCAGGAGAAAGATCTCTTTTGATGCCAAACTAAACTCTCACTCTCTCTCTCGCTCGCTCTTTCAGGCTATGTGGTTGATGCTGCAACAGGAGGAGCCCGATGATTTCGTCATCGCAACCGGGGAGGTGCACAGCGTGAGGGAGTTTGTGGAAAAAGCCTTCCGACATGTGGGGAAGACAATCGTGTAAGCGCACACTCGCGCACACAATCCCTATCGTGAATTTTCTGTCTCTTTTTTTTTTTCCCTGATCAATTCCCTCGTGAGAAATCGCACTTGATACAATCCAGATTATATGAGCGCGACAGTGGCACATATCAGGTCGCCATTTTGCATGTTGCATCATTGTCATTTTTTGAAAATGGCTGCATAAGCCTTCCGCTTCTATTCGGGGTCAGGTCTGCGCGTGTTCATTTTGGGAGGTGAGCAAGGTTTTGTGGTTCATGGCAACGTGCCTATTTTGCAGGTGGAATGGCAAGGATGAGCACGAGGTGGGCTGTTGCCAGGAGACGGGAGTCGTGCATGTCAAAGTGAATCCAAAATATTTCCGGCCAACTGAAGTGGTAAGTTTTGACCGTTTCACGGGGATCTTTTCATGGAAAGTACAGTATTTGCTCACATGGGAGTCGATTGCGCAACCACGCTGCCTCTTCCAAAAGTCTCGAGTAGCAAAGTGGTCGTGTCCGTCCAGAGAAAGGGCCATCTCGGGTACGCACGCACAAGCGTCACAAGGCACGCGTCCTGTTTTGCAAGCAACCATTCACACCTGAGCGCAACCGAACCCGCTTGCGCCGCTCCACCCACCTTGCTGCCCTTTGGCTTCGCAGATCACACCCAAAAATCGGAAGGCCACAAATGCCCCGTGAAAGTGCAACGTGAGTTTTGACTGAAAGGCAAATAAATGCCGATTCGGCGTCAACGCAGAATGAAAGCGGCAGCTGATCTTTTTACCATATATTGAAAAAAAATAAATAAAGTATTCAAATGACATTCTGTGGACAGTTATGGACTGATGGACATTTTTTTTTCCCACCAAATTGAAAAAATGTCGGGATGAAATGATATTTTATACTTTTAAAATGGCATTGTTTTGTTTGCTGTCATCTGTGGAGCCACTGCATGGCTGTGCACTATCCAGTCCATTTTGGAAGAAACAGAATTCATGGTCGTAACTTTTATAACAAGTAACACGTTTTGAGGCAAACGCACTAAATATTAAAAAAAATATACACATCAAAATAAAGGGGCAATTAGCTACCTCAAAGTAACTGTCGCGTTTCCGTGTAACGCTTCACCTTGCACGTTTCCTGCTTTCCAAAGCAGACCTAAGCATGAATGTCATGTCTTTTCTTTTTGTACGGCTCCCATTCCCGGCCATTGTTTGTCCAAGTGTGCACTTAGCAGCTCGAGAGCAGTTTCAGGCTAAATTATCGGACCGCTTGTCGTGCACACGCGCTGTCCTACGCGGCCGAAAAGCAGCCCGTCGAAATCGCCCTCGTTCATGATGGCTGCGTTTCGGGTTTCGATGATTTGACTCGTCGGTCAGTCGGAAGCAGCAGTCATTTTTCACAAGAGGAATATCTCGGCCGGATTTGAACAACCCGTGTTCACGCGCGGCGTGAGCGTCAAAGTAATGACACGAGCCCCCATCCGATGATCCTTCCGTCCGCCCGGCTGTAGGTGCGAAGTGGCCCTCTCTCATCACTCTGCCCCCCCGAGGGCATTACGGCTCCTCCTCGGGGAGCGCGAGTGTCGGGTTACCGGTCGTGTTGCGGTCCAGATGATGTGTCGGGTCTTCAGTTGAAAGCCAGGAGTGCCACTCGTCAGAGGGTCGGCGTATTTGGATTAGAAGTGAGATTCAGTTGAGTGATGCCGGAGGATTAGCGCAAAGGTGGGGTGGGGTGGGGGGACTGGATCTATTCTATGAGATGGAGGGCTGTTGGCCACCCCAAAAACTGCTCAACCATTTGCCTTGACCCCTTTGAACAGAAAGCCGATAAACAATGCAAACAATAAAAAAATTGCTGTGGAAAACTGAAGAATTTTGAAGTGACCCTTTCGCCCTTCCATTTTTTTTTTTTTTTTTTCCTACGCGGCCCTCAAAGGAAAACGTTTGGCCACCCCCTGCTGTAGCCCGGGTCTCCGTTTGCAGACGGGGCGACAAGGGGGGGAAAGCCGATAAACAATGCAAACAATAAAAAAATTGCCTGTGGAAAACTGAAGAATTTGAAGTGACCCTTTCGCCCTTCCCTTTTTTTTTTTTTTTTTTTCCTACGCGGCCCTCAAAGGAAAACGTTTGGCCACCCCCTGCTGTAGCCCGCGTCTCCGTTTGCAGACCGGGCGACAAGGTGGTACCTTTTCTCTTCTCTCTTCCATTGTCTATTGTCTTTATCTGGAGCTCGAAGAGAGTGAAAAGCGTTTAACCTCTGACCTCTTTCGGCAGGAAGTTTATGACACCGGGCTCACAGCTTAGCATTGTTGCTCTCCTCAAGTGGAAATACCTGTCATCGTGTGGCTACACGCTAAAAGAATTCAGCTGATTCAGACACTTCTTTTGTGTTTGCTGTAAAGCGCGAGAAAGAAAAAAAAAAAAGCGCGTGCGCAGGTTTGTAAAAGCAGGGTGCCCTCAGGCCACGTGCCAATATGTAGCGTATGTCATTCATCACTCCCCTTGTCTGGATATGTGTGTGTGTGCGTGTGTGTGTGTGTGTGTGTGTGTGTGTGTGTGTTTCACTCTCCGGAGCCCAACAGGGTGCAACGAGCGAATTGCGTCAACTGTGCAGGTGTTCCTTGCGTTTGGGTGTTGCGAGAGCAGTCGTTTGTTTGCGGTTGTGTCGCGATGGGCTTGTTGTTTAGCGACTGTGCGAGTGCACCGGTCGCAATGGTGCAAGCGCATTTGTTGGTATGTGAAGACGAAAGTATGTCGGAAGGGCTGACAGATTTGTTGTTAATGTAGCGATAGATAAGTCGATCAACGTCGGGCTGACATGGCCGCTGATGGCATTCTTTGAGCTTTGCCAAGTTGTCAGTCTCGATCTTTCAGCCTTTGGGTTTCAGCCAGAACTGAACTTGGTCGTGCTTGAGTGTCCAACGCTCTTGAGTGGCATTTTGCGCATGTTCCAAATTTGACTCCGGTCGTTGACAGCCGATACAGGATATGAATTGAGTTTGGGGTTTTTCCTTTACTGTTCTCAGTACATTGCACATGTCACTTCGAAGTTCTGCCAATGAGACGTGATTATTTTTAGGTTGACAGTATTTTTTTGGACTATCGGGCACCCGTAAAATCCTTTCGTTATCCCCAAAATGGACGGTGCGCCTCACGATTATGATTTACCGTATTTTCCGGACTATAAGTCGCTCCTGAGTATAAGTCGCACCGGCCATAAAATGCACACTAAAGAGGAAAAAAACATAACATAGGTTGCACTGGAGCATAAGTTGCATTTTTGCGGAAATTTATTGGATAAATTCGGTGTCACTTTTGAAGAACTCCGCGGACACCGGACATAGAAGATGCGGCGCTTCCTCTTCGACTTCGCTTATGTCAGAGTCATCGTCAGTTGTTCTTATCAGTTACCGCCAATGTGGAAAGTATCAACACAGGCCTAGAGCACCCTCTTGTGGTTTAATGTGAAAATAACATGTGAAATGATAGAATGTGTTAATTATTTCACACATAAATCGCTCCAGAGTATAAGTCGCACCCTCAATCTCTAATCACCAGAGGGGAATCCCGCACGGTACATTTCGTTCATAAGCTAGGTCGCAGTGGCAGTTCTCCGCCTGCGGTTCATTGTAATGAAGGCCTTCTCACTATTTTGTGGGGGGGGGAAATCTGGTCATTATAATGAAGTTGACCTTATGAAGGTGTTCGTTGTAAGCGACATCGACAAATGGAAAATGAATGATGTGAAATCGCAACTTTGAAATGTGAACGTTATCGGGGCGACAACGTCGTCAACGGGGTACCTTGAAAATGACACTCAACTATTTACCGTCCAATGCTTCACAAAGTTATTGTGCCTGATCATCCAGTGTGCTTCATCGTCTGAAAAATACGGGAACCGTATATCCTTCAATATATTTCGAATGCTGTGTCCGTGTGCATGTGCGAGCAGTGGCGCCCGACCCTCTGCACCAAATGGCTTTTAATTCTAAAGGAGCAAGTTTCATTCGAATGTAATTCCTCCTGCATCGAGACGACAATCCGAACTTGACTGTTGAATGAAGTCTGTCAATGTACAAGAATATGAATGCAACATTTGTGTGTGTGTGTGTGTGTGTGTGTGTGTGTGTTTGTGTGTGTGTGTCGGCAGCCATCATACTTTCCATTTCATGTGTCGCTCGAGGCCAAAAACTGCGACTGGCTGAGTGACAGGCACAGCGTTTTTTTTGTTTTTTTTTGTAACCTCATGCAGAGAAAGAGTCTCGATGAATGGGAAGTTGTCTTCCTCCGTCCCATCTGCGTTCACGTAACTGCTCACCTGTCATATTTGCCGCACAACTTGTTGCTGGCCCACCGCCTCTTCTCGGTCTGAGCAGTTCGATGGTTCGGGGGGGTGGGGGGGAGGCCCGGAATGCCCCTCCAGGCAAGATTACCTGACTGTGAGACAGGAAAAACAATCCAACTTTGTCTGCCTGTGTCATATAAATCGGAATGAAAAAAAAAAAAAAAGCGTCCTTCCAGCAGCATCACCATTGACGTTTTTGGGGGGGGGGTTGTTTTTAAGCGCCGACATTTGTTGTCTCTTACATGTTGAGCTGTGAGTTATTTCTTGAAATAGTGGCCTCCAATAATAATGCTCTCAAATCTCGATTGATTAATTGACAATGACATCCGCCACTTAAAACGGGGATGCATCCCACCCAGCCCCCCACCCAACAGATGCTCATCTTTTTCTCCTCGAAGAAAAGTGTGGTGACTGTCATCACTTGAGTTCCTCGACTTATCTTCAGGAACTCGTTTGCATTTACACACGCTTAAAATGAAAACATACCGGAAATGTTTGACACTCACTTTTGCGATACAGCCTTTTTGTGTGCGGGGGGGCAAAAGAAGTTTTTGTGAGGGGAACCCCAATTGGACAGCGGAAGCAGACGCACTGCATGCATCCTCCATTTAGCGGTCGAAAAGGGGCCAGCCGTGGCCAAGCGCTGAAAAATGGAGCCGGTGACTGAAGCGACCCAGGTTGGACTCACCTCACATGCACTCTTCGGGTATTTCTCAACCCCGCCCTGTCCGTCAACGTCTCTAGTGAGAAGCATCTTATCTCCATGCGTTGCGTGTGACTCAGACATCGGGTCATGCCCTTATTTCCCGCACTGCTCTCAGATGCGTTGGACAGGTCTCTTCTTTTGTTGTTGTTGGCGTTGCACACCTGAGTTCTTTCTTACTCGGCGAGTGTGAAACGTCAGAGCGGAAGAGTGAAAGCGAGAGCCGACGGTGACTCACGGCGGTGCGAGCTGCGCACTCAAAGGTCGACACGATTGACCGGTTCAGGTTTTCATTTCATTTTTGCAGTCGTGCAAGCGGAGAAGCTCAACCAGGCAACTCAACGTT